TTCTTAAAGAAGACCTGAAAGCAAGGAATATTTCCCAAAATAAACAAGTAGAAGACATTAGGCAAAAAAGCTTCTGCACAGCAAAAGAAATAGTAACTAGAATGAGGAGACAACCCTCAGAGTGGGAGAATATATTTGCAAACTACACATCAGATAAGGGACTGACAACCAGAATATACAGGGCACTCAAGCAGCTTAACCACACACACACACACACACACACACACACACACACACTCACTCACACTCCAATTAAAAGATGAGAAAATGAGCAGAACAGATTACTCTTCAAGGAAGAGATATAAACCACCAAAAAGCATATGAAAACATGTTCAATATATCTTATCATAAGGTAAATACAAATCAAAACCACATTGAGATATCACTTAATCCCGATCAGAATGGCTAAAATTTTAAAAATAAAGAATGAGGTCTGGAAGGTAGAATGGTAGCCTAACGCGAACTCCAACTGCATTTGAGTTCTGGACCTAGTGGCTTGCTTTCTCACTTTTCCTCTCTCTCTCTGGTCACATTGAAATAAATAAATAAGAATAAAATAATTCTTAGGACAAAAATAAACCTCAAACTAGGAGTGTGTGCATCATGCCCGAAATCCTTAAAGGAGAATGGAGGAGAAGGGATTGCAATGTGGCCATCCCCTCGGGAAGGTGGGAGAGGATGGTTTCTCACTTTTTGTCTGTCTGCTTCTGTCTCTTCAGTGAGTGCATTCACCCTACAGCAAAAACCTCTCACTCAATAAATAAATAAATAAAAATAAACAATAAACACTAGTGGGGCTGTGGTGAAAAGGGAACTCTCCTACACTGTGGTAGGAATGTAAATTAGTACAATCACTATGGAGGACAATATGTAGATCCCTTAGAAATCTAAAATAGAACTACCATATGACCCAGGATTTCACTCTTAGGTATTTACTCAAAGGACAGGGAAACCCTCAGTTGGAAAAACACTTGGATATCCACGATTATTGCTGCACAATTTACATTTGCTAGGACATGGAATCAACCCAAATATTCAAAAATAGATGAGTAGATTGAAAAAATGCGGCATATGTACTCTACCGAATACTCCATAAGAGCAATGAGACCCTGACATCTGATACAAAGTGGACAAATATGGAAGACTTAATGCTAAGTGAAGCAAGCCAAACCATGGAAGACAGACTTTGTATGTTCCCATTCAATAGATACCAAATGTTTGTGCTCTATAGCAGAAACTCAAACACGGGATGTATAACAACAGGGAGGGCAACTATACATCCTAGGGATAATTAAGGAAGGGTAATAGGGCGTGGTCAATAGGAGGAGGGGGAGGGAAAAGAGAAAAATACATTTCATTGACAAAAAAATGGAAAGTTATTTGATGATAATGTATATGGTAGTATCTTTGTTGTGCTTGATATGCGCTGTATTCGTGCTGGGAAAAACATGCTGTACACTGTAAAGATGTACAGTGATTAAATTCTAAACTAAAAAAAGAGAGAGCACGAGATGGGCCAATCCCAGCATTTTATCAAATGAACAAAAGGAATTTGCCCCCGTTAGAAAACAATGAGGCTAAAAACTCAGGTTTCCAGACTCCAGAGCTGAAAACGTTGTGTCCATTATACCCAGGTACCTCTCAGAAATGGAACACAACTAAAATGAATCAGACTTCAACAAGTTCATGGAAAAGCAGAAGTATGGTTTGCCTTGGTGCAAAAAATTTTAAATCTACGCATAATTTTTTCATAATATGCATTTTCCATAAACCACACATATTAACTCTAAGAAAATAATGAACATGGCCCAGCCTGATGGTATAGATGGTAGCAAACTGAACTGAAGTGCCTAAAATCCCACACTCCACCTGGGTTCAGACCTCCAGGTTAGTGTGAAAACACATTGTGGGTGTGCCATGTATACCCAGGATCCTGTGGAGCTAGAGGGCAGGAGAAGGAGGATCTCATGGTGATGATTCCCTGAGCAGACCACCTCTCACACACATGTGCATGCATGTAGTCCCTCTGATGAATAAATCCCGGGGGCATTTTAAGCAAACTTAAAAAACAGACAAAAAATAAAATTACTGAATAATTCAATTTTAGATTTGTTTACACTAAAGATTTTTTTAAAAGAATTGTTTAAGAATTATTTTATTTAACTTTATTTATTATTATCATTATTATTTTTCAGTTTGATCAAAGAGAGACAGAGAGAGAGAGGGGAAGTGAGAAAGAAAGCCACCAGGTTCGAGCCTTGAACCATGGTCAACCATGTGGAAGGCCAGCGCCCTTAACCACCACACCACTTGCCGGCCCCAAAAGAACTGTTTTTTAATTGACCTTAATTTATTGATTTCTTTTTTGAGAGGTTTTCGCTATAGGGTGCGTGCACTCGCCAGGCAGACAGAGAGAGACATAAGAGACAGAAAGCAAGAAATCACCCCCCCAGGGGGGATGGCCACGCCGCAATCCCTACCCCCCAGGGGGGATGGCCACGCCGCAATCCCTGCTCCATTCTCCTCTCGGGATCTTGGGCATGCACGCACACGCGCCCAGCATGAGTTCTAAGCCACCAGGTGCTAGACGCGAACCACGGTCGACTACGTGGGAGTCCAGTGATATAGCCATTATGCTAACTGCTGGTTCCCCTTAATTTATTGATCTAAAGAAATATTTTATTTTACTTCATTTACTCATTCATTTATTTATTTTTATCTGATCAGAGAGGAATAGAGTGAGAACAAGAGGGGGGAAAAGTGAGAAAGCAAGCTGCTAGGTCCAGGACTCAAACCACGGTCGGTCATGTGGGAGTCCAGTGCCCTTAACCACGCACAATCTGCTGGCCCCTATTTGTTTATTTTTAAAATTTGATCAGAGAGGGACAAAGTGAGAGAGAGAGAGAGAGAGAGAGAGAAAGAGAGAGAGAGAGAGAGAGAGAAAGCAAGCCACCAAGTCTGGTACTCAAACCGTGGTTGACCATGTGGAAGTCCAGTGCCCTCAACCACCATGCCACCTGCTGGCCCCTATACTGAAGATTTAGGGAGAAAGAGTATGCAAGCCCTAAAAATTTTTAAGCAACAGTTTTTACTTATTGTGGGTTGACACATAAATTCAAGCTACTTAAAAATACAATTGTTGGGAACCAGCAGTTAACGTGTAATGGCGATGTCGCTGGACTCCCACGTAGTTGACTGCGGTTTGCGTCCTGGACCCAGTGGCTTAAAACCCACACCGGGCGCGTGTGCGTGTGTGCCCGAGATCCCGAAAGGAGAATGGCAGAGAAGGGATTGCGGCGTGGCCATCCCCTCTGGGGGGGTGATTTCTCGCTTTCTGTCTCTCTGTCTCTCTCTCTCTGTCTAGCGAACGCATGCGCCCTATAGTGAAAAACCTCTCAAAAACAAAACAAAACAAAAAAACAATTATTAGGCAGTGGGGCTCCAGAAAAAAAAAAGTTCACAACAGACACAATGACACAACAAAGAATGCGAGGAAACAAGGCAAATAAGTTACAGGACAGTATACCACAGCAAAGTGAAAAGAGGGTGTTGTCAATCATACCTATCTCTCTATAGCTATCTCCAAAAAATAAAAAAACCTGAAGCCAGCAGATGGTGTGGTGGTTAAGGTACTAGACTCCCACATGGTTAACCACAATTGGAGTTCCAGACCCACTGGTTGGAAAAACCCGCCAAGTGTGTGTGCATGCATGTCCCAAATCCCAACAGCAAAATGGAGAAGGGATTGTGTGTGGCATGGCCAGTGGGTAATTTCTCGCTTTTCATCTCTTTGTCTCTCTCCAGTAAGCACAGGCACCCTATGGCAAAAATAAGACAAAAACACAACCATTACTACAACAAAAGGCAAAGTCCTTTGGTGAAGATGATGAATACAATAATACTGATTTGATTATAATAATATAATAAATCATTATAATAATAATGATTTGATTCTCACACTGTAGGCATGCTTTGAAAAATCATATGGTCCCCCATAAAGATGTACAACAATGAAATGTAAAGATAAAATTATAAAATTATTCACATTATAAGTTAGTGGGTTTTTTTGTTTTGTATTGTTTTGAGAGAAAGCGATGTTGGCTATAGGGTACATGTGCTCACCCGAGAGACAAAGTGATAGAAAGCAAGAAATCACCCCTGGGTGGGGGATGGCCATGCAGCAATTTCTTCTCTTGGGATCTTGGGCCCACACGCACAGGCACCTGGTCTAAGTTTTAAGCCACCGGGCCTGGGACTCGAACTGTGGTCAACTATGTGGGAGTCCAGTGATGTTACCATTACACCATGTGCTGGTCCCGTTATTTTTTTCTTATTTTAAGAGAGAATTTGCTATGAGGTACACGTGGTCACCCAAGAGACAGACAGAAAACAAGAAATCACCCCAAGTGGGTATGACATGCCGCAATCCCTTCTCGGGATTTTGGGCATGCACACACGTGTCAGTCATGAGTTGTAAGCCGCTGGGTCCAAGACTTGAACCACAGTCAACTACATGGGAGTTCAGTGACCTTAAATATCACACCATCTGCTGGTCTGCCAGTGTGAGTTTTAAGCTACTGGGTCTGGGAGCTGAACTGTGGTCGACCCTGTGAGAATCCTGCCACGTAACCATTACGTCATCTGCTGGCTCCAAAATAGTGTACATTATGGACCGTCTTTTCATTCATTTGCATAGCATTGCCACCCTATTTATTGCAACAATTACAGTGCTACTCACTTATGGCCCTGGATAGGAGTGAAAAAGGAACGTCGTATACACAGGTAACCTAAAAGATCATACTGTCAACATACAGTTAAAAAAACAAACTTCTTCCAGTTTGTCTTGAAACAATCTTCTTGGTCAGAGATATGACCAGTATCTGCTGCCTGCAAAGCTAACCTTCAATGTGGCAGACAATATTCTTTTGTGAGCTCAGGCTCTGGCTCTCAAAGGAGCCCTTTGTTTCTGTCCCCCGTTTCCACTTCCCCCAGAGCCTTACCTGGGATAGTACGCTGTGTAGTTCATGAAGAGCTGAGTGCCTGCCGGGTAGTATGCCGTGGAGGGCTGCAACGCACGTGGATTCAAAAGCACAGAGGGTTGATAAATGGCGGCTTCAGTAGGAATAACTGCTGCAGGAGCTGGAAATGTGTAGGAGGGAGGAGACAGGCCTAAATAAGCAAAGAGAGAGTCTTTGAGACGTTTGTAAACAGCTGACACCCATGTGCTAGCAGTAAAGCAGTAAAGTCACGGTTCAACCTATAATACTTAAAGGAAGAGACCATCACCGTTCTCTGTACCATTCCAAGCAACTTCCTTCTGCTATGTTAGATAACACAAAGACATCATCTCAAATGCCACACTGTCAACCTGAAGAACCATTTCTAGACTGAAATTGGGAAAAACCAACATCGAGTGGATTTTCAGGCCTTCTCGATCACTTCATGACAGGTGATCTTTTATTCCCATGCTCTCTAATGCCAGTTACCATAAAACAGGCCTTAAAGGAAAGAGAGGGGACTGACATTTAGTATGACTTCGTACTCACAGTTGGATTTTTGTTTCAGATTCATGCTACTCCTCCATCTTGTTATGTGCACTTAGGTACAGCGTGAAATGGAAAAGGTTATGATAAAACCCTCCTCACAAGTACCAGAGCAACTGGTACATTGTACCTGACCCAAAAGTAGTAGACCAACTCTAAATCATTCACACCAAAGGCAACTCAGAAAATTGGATTTGAAGCTACTCTATATCTTCAGAACTGTTTAAAAAAAAATCCAATGTGGGAAACAGCTGTGAAGAAACAGATTTTTTTTTTTTTTTGGAGAGGTTTCTGCTATAGGGTGCGTGCGCTCGCCAGACAGACAGACAGAGAAAGAGAGAGAGAAAGCGAGAAATCACCCCCCAGGGGGGATGGCCACACCGCAGTCCCTTCTCCTCCATTCTCCTCTCGGGATCATGGGCACACATGCACATGCGCCCGGCGTGAGTTTTAAGCCACCGGGTCCAGGACGCGAACCACAGTCGACCATGAGTCCAGCGACATCGCCGTTACGCTAACTGCTGGTCCCAAGAAACAGATATTTTGAGGCAACAGATGACACAGAGATTGGACACATGGACAAATATGCAGTTCAAGTCTCTGACCAGTGGCTTGAAAAACATGCCAGACACCCGAAATCCTGAGAGAGGGAAGAAGGGACTGTGGTGTGGCCATCCCCCTGCTGGGGCTTGCTGTTCCTATCCCCTCAACCCTGTCTCAATTGAGTTCATAATTAAATTAAAAAAAAAAAAAAAAAAAAAAAAGGAGAGAGAGAAACAGACGTTCAAGTTTTCCTGAGAGCCAACTGAGAAAAAGCTGACTCAGATAACTAGAAAATGGAGCCTAGCCTCCGTGGCATAGGTCATAGCATTTTGAACTGCATTCTGGACGCCATATGGCTAACCATGGATTCAGATCCCAAGTAGACCTGAAAACATGTCAGGCACATTCACATGTGCCCAGGATGAGATACTAGAAGGTTAGGGACAGGAGATCGTGTCGAGGATGTCTATCAGTCTATCCATCCTTTCTCTCATGTGCATATACATGCTATCTCCCATGAACCAATAAACTTCATAAATAATTAAGTAAAAAGGAAATGGACAGAAATGGTCTTGTAGTTGGCCAACATGTCCTAAGTTCAGAAACTCCCTTAAGTCAGACAGGGTGTTGGCCACTAGCCTTCACACATACGATGAACACAACTTTTCAGACTACCTGTACCTCAAAGATAACTGAGAGGTTTTCTGAACCTGAGAACCCTGATTTTTTTTTTTTAAGGTTTCTGCTATAGGGCGCGTGCACTTGCCAGAAAGACAGAGACAGACAGACAGATAGAAAGCGAGAAATCACCGCCTCCCCCCTGCCCCCGCCCCAAAGGATGGCCACACCACAATCCCTTCTCCTCCGTTCTCCTCTCAGGATCTTGGTCACGCATGCACACGCACACAGCATGAGTTTAATCCACTGGGTCCAAGACTCGAATAATGACTGACCACATGGGAGTCCAGAGACGTAGCTGTTATACCAACTACTGGTCCATGAGGATCCTGATTTTAAACTTCTTACTTGGAACAACCATATTTTGTGGGACCAGCAGTTTTTGCAAATGGTGGCCAAGCCCCAAAGGATTTTTGGTTTTTTTTTAATGAGACAGGAAGGAAGGAAATGGAAGAATGGAAAAAAAGGTAAGACAGGAAAGGAGAGAGAGAGCTTTTGAATAGGGTCTCTTATCACATCATGATTCTCCTATCCTAGCCTCCCAGTGAATTGGCAGAGGCCCAAAGGGTATTTTATTTTATTTTATTTTTATGTGGGGGGTGGAGTAAGGGAAAGACAAAAGGAATGAGGGGAGGAGGAGAGGGGGAGAGGGAGGCTTCTCCAACGGGATCCGTTCAATATTTATATCACGCTGCTCCGGCCTTAGCTTCTTTGTTAGCTAGGATCGTAGGCGTATCACACCTGGCCTCAGCTACACTGGAGTCCTAAGGGACTCCTAAGGGAGAACTGTTTCACGTGAAAACACCCAAGATCATTTCAGCCGTCCTTTGTTCTTAGGTGTTTCTACGTTTCTGTGATGAACTTTCTTGTTCATCACAGAAAGTTGGCAGAATATGGGCATATAGACCAAAGACCAAAATATCGCATCTCACATTTGGTTCCTTAGGCACCTCTTTCACATGCACCAAAAACTGTGCTAAATGTTAGTTACCTACAAAAGGTTAAAGTTATGATCCCTGGCCTTACACAGCCCATATAAAGGGCAACAGTATGAACTGAGGCACTTAAATCTTACAGAAAATTATATTATGCTTTTAAAACTAACAAGCAATTCATTACAGGACAGTGCCTCACACCAATACATCAAACATATCAAAGAGGACTTCAAAAAGCTTTCAGAAAAATGAAATTAAAGTGGGGATTTATTTTGGTGTAAAAAAAATGGGAGCCAATCTATGACTTAGGTGGTTAGGAGAGCTGGATCCATATGGACAACTGTGAAGTTTGAGTTCCAGATCTGGCAGTTCGGAAAACATAACAGGTGTGCATGCATGTGCCCCAAATCCTGAAACAAGGGGAGATGGGGTTCTTTCTCCCCTCCCCTCTCTGTTAAGCTAACATATCCTCTGGAAAACTTACAAAAATTTAAGAAAGAAATTTGATGTCATGCAGTTTTCTCATAATAGGCATTGCCTACAAATGCTTTAAAGATGCTTGGTATAGAACGTATAAAACAATTCTCCTTTAAAACAAAGAAAGGTAAAATTTTTTGATAACCAAATGGACTAGGCTACTAAGATTTAGGCATTTTTCAAATTAAATGACAGCTATTTTTATATTCCTAAAAATGTCAGATGTGTATATGAAGTTGACTTTAAAATGTGCCTTCTGAATGAATTAAGGGAAGAAACGTAAAAATGTTAACCAGTCTTTAGCAGCCTTTCTTTGCCAAATTAAACTTGTCCTTTTTATTGTTTTAGAACTATTTATTTTAGGGACCAGCAGATGGCGTAGCAGTTATGTCTCGGGCCTCCCATATAGATGTGACCGTGGCTTAGAACTCACTCCAGCACATGTGCATGTGTGCACAAATTCCCAAGGAGAATGGAAGAAAAGGGATTATGGCATGGTCATCCCCCAGTGGTTATTTCTCACTTTCTGTCTCTCTGGCAAGCTCACGCACCCTATAGCAAAAATCTCTCTTAAATAAAAAAGGGAGAATTATTTTATTCTACTTATTATTTTTTTGAAACTTGCTATTGTCAACAAAAGAGAAGGAAAGTGAGAAAGCAAGCCAGCTGGTCCAGGAATCGAACCACAGTCAGCCACGTGGGAGTCCAGCACAATAACCACCATGCCACCTGTTGGTCTCAAAAGAAACTTTTCAATGGAGAATAATTAATTACTGCTTTAACTGTATTAGCCCCCAAGATTACATTTTTAAAAACATATGCAATTTTTGTTAAGTTTTGTGGTTGCTGTGTAATTAGACAATAACTTTAACAATGTTGACAAGAAGGAAAATTCAGTAGGACATGCATATATTAGCATGTATAAATTGGAATTCTGATTGCTTAAAAAAGTAAAGTTCCAAAGCAGACAAATGGCCAAATTTTGGTTTAAGATTTTGTCTTCATATTTGGAAAGTATCAAAGACATGGAAGTACATTATGTGAAACAAGAGTTTTAAGTGTTGTTGTATTTTATGGCCGAAGAGGGGAAAATGAAGAAATGAAAAGTCTTATGCAGAAAAGTCAGTAATGACAAATTTCAACCAGAAACATAAAATAAAAGGCCATCACAGCAGACCAAATATGGGTTACACATGAAAAACTGCCTTTATCTTACAGTACTTGATAGATTACCAAAAAGATCCTGTAAAAACTATTGACTTTGTCAGTGGTTTGTGGATGGGAAGACATACAACTAGGATTACTTTAAGGTTATCTTCTTAAACCCAATCATAAATTTTCAAAACTTGGCTCTCATTACAGATCAGCTCTTAGATATTCACCAACAGCAAGCGGCAGGTAAGGATGCCAAGGGGGAAAAACAGGATTAAGCCCCACCAGATGTTCTACAAATAATACTTTATCAAACAGGTTTATAGAGGTATAGATCCCTCTTTAGTAGAAAAAGATGTCCTAAAATTCCACTTTTTGGATGCAAGCACAAAAATTCAGTTTACTTTTTTCATTTATGTTTGAACCGTATTCCAAGTACTGCACTGTTTAAACATACTCAAACCACCTGATATTTGTGTATAAAAAAAAAAAAAATCTAGTTTTAACATTAGATCCCCAAATATTCCTTACTAGAACTTGGTATCTAGACTACAGGGCTTATTCCTCTAAAAGGGGTACCACCAGAGAGCTTGCACCCAGGGACCAATGAGCAAGAGCGTGGCTTGAAATTAAGCACTGATCCTGCGAGCCAATGGAAACTCTGGCTAATCCATGTACGTATTTATATTTTTACTGGGTTTTTCATTCCAGGTATCCTGAAAAGCAACAGAAATGCTCTCTGGGTTATCGCTTCCCAAAAAATATTTCATGTTTAAAAACTTCAATATGTAAAATGGGTATCAAATCACTTTCATAAAGCTTAATGTGTTTAAAGAAAGAAAGAAAAAAAAAGAATCCAGCCATATTTATGTTTTGTCTTTAAATGCAAATTAAAATATCTACAGAGCCAGGTTCCCTCCCAGAGTCAGTGCTTATCTGGAGCACACTAAGCTTCAGAAATCAAGTGCTTATCACTGGAAAAGCAAGAATATAATTCGAAAGGAGGTATTTGTAGCATCTCTAATTATGGGTGTCCACAACCAAGGTCTTAAATGATTACCAGGTACTACCAATTTCAGATGGGAAAGCCTTATGTAACCACCTCGCCTGCCTCAGAAAGAACCAGGGGCACAGACAGCTAAGAAAGCAGCTTAAGCACCTACCAGCATACAGCGTAGAAGAGCGCCAAGACCCAAGAAAAACTTACATGGTAACTTACATGGCGGTGGGGATAAGCCATTTCGATTTAAAGTGCCCCCCATTAACACAAAGTTCATCTCCTCAGCTGAACACTGAAAGACTTCAACATATCTGTCCTTCATGGTTTTTTTATGACACTTCTGTGCAGCCATAAATGCTCTGTCCGCAGACTTCATCTGGATAAAGGCATCTCCTGATGGGCGGCCCTGAGTGCATCGGGGAAAAATAAAGACAAAAGGAGACTGTCTCCTTCAACAAGGAAATGGTTGCTTACAAAACATGCAAAGTGACAATCACCCATAGTCCAGACATTTTAGCCACAAAATCTGGGTGACAGTGTGATCTTCTGAAATCTGGCTTGCATTTCATCACCTAATCACCAGAATGGCCCACAAAACCTTGAAGAAATAGTTTTTGAGAGCTCATAGTTGAATGTGATCCTTTTTGGTTTCTGTTAATCAGTATCAGATTCACAGGGTTTTGAAAGGGTCTCCTTGTGACTGTGGTTTCAAAATATACGACTATATATTGGGTTTTCTTCCCTTCTGAGCAATCCGATTAAATCTTGTTTGATTGAGCAAAGCTATTCACAGCACCAGTATTAGAGCTTTATGAATCCTCCTACAGGAAACCGCGAACAACTCAGTGTTCTCCTTGGCTCACTTCTAGCCCTGTGGTGGCCTGCCACATCCCTTCTCTTTTCCCTCATCCACAAAGCCTTGGTTGCACTGTGGCACAGGAATGAACTAGGACTTTCAAGGCACAGCAATGGCTCATGAGACCCACACGAACGGCCTTGTTTGGGAGCCCTTCACCCACCTCCTCTCTTACACTTCGATCTTATCCCTGGTCAAACAAATGTTCATAGACATTTCTTTTTTATTGGTAGCTTGCTAAGATTCCCTGCTTAGAAACTATGCCTGTAGATTTCTATTCCACAGAAGTAGAACACCTTAGTTTTACTTAGCATGAGTGTTTTATGGGACAAAACACAACTGGATTATAGAATGGTTTAATTTTACATTTTATTTACCTCTAAAACTCTCTCAGGGACTATTTAGTCCAAATTATTTCCATGCAAGTTACCATAAGAGTTACCATACCAGGGAAAATAGCAATAAACCCAATCAAAGATGGAAACTTAACATATTGAGGAAGCTAAAAGTCTGACCATCCAAGAAGCATTTGTCACCAGTGCGATTGTGAGAGGTCACACAGGTCAGGGAGAGGAGGATCTGTCTACTGCTCTTAATCAAAGGGTGACGGTCCCACAGATATTAGACTGGTGGCTCAGAAAGAAACCAACGATTGCAGGGTGATGCAGATTTGGGGGAAATTTTATTGCAAAGGACTGCCACAAATGAAGCATGCTGAGAGGGTCCCCAGTCAGATAGAAAAAGTTAGAGAGCTGACTAGTGAGCACATGCTGTGTAGGAAACTAAGCAAGGGCTTGGGCTATTTTCTGATTCCTCATACCCGAAGGCACGTGTACTTTCCCGTGAGGCAAGACTGGAACTAGGAAGAGACTAAATCTCCAAGGGAAAAGAAAAGGTGGGAAATTAACAGTTTAGGAAAAAAAATTAGGATTTCCAATACAGGCCTATATTCGACCCATAGCACTCAGAAAACATCTTATTCTTATCAGTTAATCCACCTTTACGTTCAATAAAGAGTTCCAAAGTTTTAATTAGATTGAGGTGACTTAGCGTTTTTTTTTTTTTTTAATTTTCTGTGCTTACGATAGCACAAAATACTGGTAAATTGCTGTGACACCAAGCTAGGAAAAATTTTTTACGCTTGCATGATGAAAGAATTCTGTTAATTTTGCTACAAACCTCTCAGCAATTCCTTCATTAATATATCTGCATGCTGGTTATGATCCACTTGCTGTTCTAGGCTGTGTGGATACAAATCCTCATTGATTCTGCATTCTATTGAACATAATTTGATGTCTAACACACACGCATACACATGTGCTCCCACACACACGACTAAAGCAAGCCATTTCTAAACAGCCTATGGATGCGGACTACTCCAGAGCACAACCACATTCATTTGTTTTCGTACCAGCTATGATTGCTTTCACACTGTGGTAGAGAGTTCAGTAGTTGCAATGAGAAAATGCTGGATAGACTGATTATAGCTTTGGTTCCTACCCGATGCTGATAATTTAATGGACATATGTGATGAAAGAACCTGAGACAAATGTGAATCACCATACTAATAATAGCATTCTTTCTGCAGTCCATCCCAAAGATCTCTTGTATTTACAGCTAAATATTTCTGTAAAGACTTACTGCTTAATTTAGAAATATGTATGCCTTTTTGTTAGAGGAAAGCCTTTGATAATCACAAAGAATAAGCCAGAAATTTTCCAGTAAGTGACTTACCTGGTGATTCAGTACCATGTGAACCCCGTGAGTACGAATATCTGTGGCGAACTCCCCCAAGAAGTCCAGGATGTCCTCTATTGTGGCCGCATAGGGAAGACCTCGGAGGCGTATACAGTCTCTAACGTTTGTAGGGGGCACAAACTGCTGAGGTAGTACTGGAATAATGGGAGGGGTTGGAAGTGGAATGAGAGGGGCCGAGGAGAATCGATTCAGCACCTGTACTCAAAAGCAAAACAGAAGAGATTTAGAGCCTTGTACTCCTGTGCCATTAAAGGATCAGCACTATCTTTAGGAATCCTTTTAGAAATACAAAACCACAGTGCTGCCCCACCCCTATCAAATATGAATCTGCATTTTAACATGATCCCCAGGTAATTCGTATGTTCCTTAAAGTTTGAGAGGCATTGATGGAGAAAGGGATTCATGAATTCAGGTAGAAAAGCATAATATTCATTTCTATCACCTACACAATGACATATGCCACACACAACACAAGGCACTTCAATTACTACCGAAACAAATGTATCACTACCTACCTTGGGATGAGAACCCTAAAAATCTGCCACTTTTACAAAAATCTAGACATATCACTAAGTGTGGAGCTTTATGACAATGTACTATGTTTTATTTGACTAAGTTCAAATCCCCCTTAATATTATCTTCATACTCCATCTCCAAACCCAAGAAACAGAGAGGGCTGGCCCTGTAGCACAATAGTTAAGCACAAGATGTAGGGAGCTGAATCCCATGTAGGCAACCATAGTTCAAATCCTGGCCCCCAGCTTGAAAAAACATGCTAGGTATATGTACATGTGTGCCTAAAATCCTGAAGGAATGGAGAGATGAAAGAAAACAGTGTTGCAGGAGACAATGAACTCCAGAAAATGCATGAGAAAAAAGACAATGAGTTCTAAGAGGTGAGGAAGTTCTTCCACAATCTGAAAGATGAAATACATACCTTAAAAAAGAATCATATGGAACTATTAGAGATGAAAGCTGTAATAAAGGAAGTCAAAATCTCCCTTGAAAGTATTAAAAGCAGATTAGATTGTGCAGAAGATTGAATCTCAGATGTACAAAATAGAACCTCTGACCTGGAAAAATTCACCAAAAAGACTGAGAAAATAACTCCCCCAAAAAATACACGAGTAATACTAGATATCATTAGATGCCCAAACATCCAGATAATTGGTATCCCAGAAGGTGAACAAACTAATCAGACCATTGATAATCTATTCCATGAAATCCTAGAAAAAACTTTACAAACCTAGAGAGTCATTCAAATATTTGGACCCAAGAAATACAAAGGACCCCACATAGAATTGACCCAAAAAGATCTTCTCCAAGGTACATCATAGCCACATTGACCAAAACCACAGAAAGAGATAAGATACTAAAATTGGCAAGAGAAAAACGTTAAGTTACTTTCAAAGGATATCCCATAAGGCTAACATTGGACCTCTCATCAGAAATAATGCACGCAAGGAAACAATGGGAAAATACATTCAAAGTGTTAAGTGAAAAACAATTTCGGGGCCAGCAAGTGGTGTGGTGGTTGAGGCACTGGACTCCCACATGGCCAGATGTGGTTTAAGTCCCATACCTGGTGGCTTGCTTTCTCACTTTCTCTTTCTTTCTATCTCCCTCTGATAAAATTAAAAGATACATAATAATAAATAAAATTAAATAAATCTTAAAAAAAAAGAAAAGCAATTTCAACCAGAAATACTGCCATTGGCAAGATTATCCTTCATATGGGAAGAAAAGATAAAAACATTTTCATATAAACAAAACCTGAAATAATTAACCAATATCAGACCAGCTCTTTGAGAAGTTCTGAAGGGAGTACTATACCAGGAAAACTACAGACAGACAATAAGAGAACAAAAAAATGACCAAGAAGAAGGGCAGCATAATGGTAGGGACAAGTTCTGAAATATCAGTAAAAATGTTGAATGTTAACGGAAAGGTCAGGCAATTCAACAAAAGAGATTATACTAGAACATTCTTATTTTATGGCAGAATGGCTATTTGCATAAATTCAATAATACAATAGTATGTGTTGCCTTGCATCAGAAATTGATTTCTAATGGGGCTTTCTGCAAATAACAGACCAAATTGAGATTAACCTAACTTTTTTTTTTTTTTTTTTGGAGAGGTTTTTGCTATAAGGCGCGTGCGCTCGCCAGACAGACAGAGACATAGAGACAGAAAGTGAGAAATTACCCCCCAGGGGGGATGGTCACGCTGCAATCCCTTCTCCTCCATTCTCCTCTCGGGATCTTGGGCACGCACGCACACGCACCCGGCGTGAGTTTAAGACACCGGGTCCGGGACTCGAACCGCGGTAGACTACGTGGGAGTCCAGCGACATAGCCATTACGCTAACTGCTGGTCCCCCTAATTTTTTTTTTCAAATAAGTTAGTTTATACCTCTCTGTAGTAAAAGGTGAAATGGAGAGAGAGAAAAAAAATGTTTCAGAAGAAAATTGCAGTGCACTTGTCATTTGATTCTAGCTTTATCCATACTTTTAAGATCTTTCGTGAAAAAAAAATGTTTAGTATGGAAGGAAGGGAGGGGGAAGGAGAAGCAAGAAATGGATAAAAGTATGCTTAATTGACAAAAAATGAGAAGCTACTTTCTGACGATAGTGTATATATTAATACCCTTGTCTTGACTGACATGCATGGTATTTATGTTGGAAAAAGAAATATACTGTAAAGATGTGATAAAATGTAAAAATTAATTAATTAATTAAAAAAAAAAAAAAAGAAGAAGAAGAAAAAAGTGTTGCAGCATGACCACACCCTGGAATGCTTTCTCTCCCCTCTCTCTGGGGATGTATGTGCCCTTCAGCAATAAATTTTAAAAACAAAAAATAGAAAGAAAATGACCCAGAATAGGAACCAGAGGCCTTAAAATAACTCTGGACTATATTAAAATATAATATAGCCAGTTAACATAAGACAAAATGGCAGGATACTGAATAACTGAAAGAAAATGAAATCATTTCATGACCATAAAGATAAACAGAAAATCAGTTTCCATATGAATGTGAGACAGAGAGTCTTGAGTATCTTTTAGATTCATGGAATTCAGATATCCAGAGAATGCCTGAGGACAGGTGAGATACGCTTTGGAGTCATGATTGCTCTCCGACAAAACTCACAGTAAGATTCCTGTCCACTTTTATCTTAAGAGTGTTCTGTGTAGTTCATAATACTAAGAGGAGCCCTTTAGGCAATGCCACTTGTGGCATCTCTTGGCTCTCTGGGCAACTTAACCATTACAGCTTTTAACACCCCACAAAGTAAACTAACATAGAAGAATTCCTCCAAAAAAATGTGTGCTAATTTCCTCACTCACACCCTGTTCAGTTGACATCTGAGTAAGAGGTGACAAAAATTAAAGAACATAGCATTTTAAAATGCCATGACAGAGCCAGCCTCATGCTTTGATGGGTAAAGGAGCCATATTCCAAGTGACTGAAAATGTGGTTTAAATTCTGGTCTTGGCAGATTGAAAAGCATGCAGGACCCATGTGAGAGCAGGCTCACTCAAAATCTCAATTGGATTGGCAGCAGGTGGTGTGGTGGTAAAGGCACTGGATTTCCACAGTCAACCACAGTTAGAGTATTGGACCCAGCAGCCTGAAAATGACACTAGGTGCATGTGCATGTGTGCCCAAAATAAGAGAATGCAGAGGGACTGCAGCATTGCCATTTCTCCTGGGGGTGAGGAGAGTGATTTCTCACTTTCCCTCTGTCTCACCCTGTCAAGCAAACATACCTTATGGCAAAAAAAAACTAAAAAAGAAAAAGAAAAAATAAACCCTAACAGGATGTAAAAGATGGAGGGTAGATACCATGGTTTGACCACGTCCCATTGTAGGGTGCTTTCTCTCTCCCTTTCTCCGTCTCTCTCTGGAAGGTGCACACACATATTGGCAAAATAATAAAAATAAAAACATTTAAAAAAGTCATGACAGAGACAGGAAGACTTCAAAAAATTATACAAAAATTCCCAACATAGCACAAACATTAGGGGAAGAACAAGAATATAGTGTCAACGTAGTTATGGACAAACTTGGGACAAGAAATGGTCAAGGACCTCGCAATACTTGCCAAACAGGAGGTCCACAAGTATACAGTGAGTGAAATGATCATTAGTAATGAAAAGTAGAAAGTAGCAGAGCCTGTGACTATTTCAATACTTGTTAAATAAATGAATAGGAATGAAGAAATGGGGATGAAGCTCACCCACACCCAAAACCACTTTACAGAAGGGTCATATAAAATCAACCCACTCTATTCACACACCAACACACAATGGTCCAGACCCTAGGATAGTCTGTAGCCAGTACTTCTATAAAGCTGTCCTTCTACTTCAAGAGCTAAAACAGGGCCAGGCATTGGTGCAGTGGAAATGCAACTGGACCCATGCGAGAAAGGGACTGAGTTAGCATCCTAGGATTTCCGTGAGCACACTAGGCACATGTGCCTATGATCTAGGCTGGCTGAGAATGGGGATAGACCACAGCAGAACCTTTTAGAGGTGTTTGTCTTTCTGTCATGACAGAAATAAAAGAATAAACTTAAAGTAAAAGATCTAAGGAACTGCAAATTGTGTAGTGGTTATGTCACTGGATTCTCACATGGCTGACCACGGTTTGGACCCCAGACATGGTTGTTTGAAACTCACACCAGGTGTGTGTGCATGCGTGCCCGAGATCCCAGGATGAGAATGGGGAAGAAGGGATTCTGGTGTAGTCAGGGGGAGATTTCTCACTTTTCCTCTCACTGTGTGTCTTGCTTTCTCTACAGCGAACACGTGCCATAAGTCAAAAACCACTTATTAAAAACAAAACAAAACAAAACTCAAGTATATTTAGCATATCTTAAAGACTGAGAATTTATGAAAGGTACAAATTATATAAACCATATTCTAGTTTAGGATTCAAGAGCACCAGTACAAAAGAACTCAAAACTAACCTAGAATTTTATCAATACTTATTTATGTGTAAAATAATATTGTGCGGCCAGCAGTTCACATGGTGGTTAATGCGCTGGACTCCCACATGGCTGACCGCAGTTCAAGATGCAGACCGTGTGGCTTGAAACACTCTGGGTGTATGTGTGTGGGTGTCCAAAATCTTGAGAGAATGGTGGAGAAGAGATTGTGGCATGGCCATCTCCTGTGTGTTGATTTCTCACTTCCTTCTCTGTCTCCCTCTCTCTCTCCAGTGGGCATACACACTCTATGGCAAAAAAAAAAAAAAAAAAAAAAAAAGAGAGAGAGAAAAATAATAATTTTGGTATCCTAGTAAATAAGAAAATTTTTTCTAGGGTCAGCCCATGGCTTGGTGGTCAAGTCAAATGACATGGCTAGCCATGTCACTTGAGACCAGCCCTGGCAGCTTGGAAATCACACAAAATGAACATGCAAGCATGCTCAAAATCCCAGAAGGAGGGAGAGATGTAGGAGAAGGGATTGAAATCTGATCATTTTCTAGGAGGGCTGCTTTCTCCTCTCCTCCTCTATCCTCTTGGGTGAGCACAGTCACCCTCTTGAGTGTGGGGAGGGGAATCTCACCTAGGGCAATTATTTTAAATTATAATACATGATGAGCTGCAGAAGTTGGACAAAGTAAGTTTTACAAATTCACAAAAATAATAGAGTAAGTGTCCTACGTGTTTGGAAAAAAGGCCAAAGGAACTATTAAAATGACTGTTCTATAATGCAGAGTAAGTTGAAAGAGCTATGTACACAGTCTAAATGATCTCAGTTACTAAGCAAATGCCAACTGATCTCTGAAGACATGTTCACCTGGTAAGAAGACGAGTTTAAAATTTTAAGATCCCATAGATAATTTCATACTGGATCATAGTGCATTTGGGGGAAGTGTCACTTGATGCCCCTAAAATAACGCTGAATTCTGAAAAGCTAATAAAAGACAGAAGGTCACACCATCAAGATATAAAACAGATCAAGTCTTTTGAGAAATACGTTTGGCAAGATATTAAAAATATTAGAAGCTTATACCTGATACCCAACTGTAAAGAAATCAATCAGGGGACCAGCAGTTAGCATAATGGCTACGTTGCTGGACTCCCATGTAGTTGACCGTGGTTTGAGTCTTGGACCCGTTAGCTTAAACTCACACCAGGCACGTATGCATGTGTGCCCAAGATTCCGAGAGGAGAATGGGGAAGGGATTGCAGCATGGCCTTCCCCCCTCGGTGGTGAGTTCTCACTTTCTGTCTGTTTCTCTCTCTGGTGAACACACGCACCCTATAGCAAAAACCTCCCCCTCCAAAAAAATCAATCAATCAAAAATTGATGAGTTTTTAAAGCAGGTTTGTGTAGGAATTTCTAAATGCAATATGTGCCTCCATGAGATATATTAAAGATGTAACTTTTTAGATATGGATAAGCTTTCAAATATATACTTTTAGAACAGAATTGAAAAGTATTCTATAACAGTATTCCAGAACTGCAAAAAATCACACAATATGTTTTTTTCTGTGTAGAAGATAGAAGTGGCTATCTTGGCTATGGAATCAGACAATTTTCATACACTTACACTTTAAGTGTTCTCTAAGTTTTGTTTTTATTTTAACGCAATGAATAATATAGGATTGTTTTTGGAGACAGAGAGCAGAAATTAATGCAATTTACCAACATACTCTTAAATACTTTTTGAACTTCAGCTGCAGTGCTTCGGAAGAGTTCAATGTATCTTTTACCCAACAAGTCCTTATGCTTCCTCAGTGCGTTCTGTGCGTATTCCTCACAAGCAAACAGGACAAAGGCATCCCCTGTTGGCCTACCATCTGGGTAGGTGACAAAGAGGATGCCTTCCTTCCCCCCAGTGATGGGGCAATGCTGTCCAAAGAAGGCCACCACTTCTTCAGCTGTGGCAGTGAAAGGGAGCCCTCGCATGCGGACAATGACTTGATTTTCCTTAGAGAGAAACTGAGCTACTTCATTGGATGTACCTAGGAAAAACAAATATTAGAAGCAAGGGGAGAAACAGGTAAAACATCAACTTTACCAAATTTTTAAAAAAGAATTATTTTTTAAAAATTTTATTTATTCATTTACTTATTTTATTTTGACCAGAGAGAGACACATGGAGAGAGAAAGTGAGAAAGCAAGCCACCAGTTCCAAGACTTGAACCATGGTCAGCCATGTGGGAATGTCTAGTGCCTTAACCACCATGCCACCTGCGGGTCCCAACTTTACCAAATTTAAGCTAGCAAAAATTCTAGCCATATCATGATTACATCCTTAAAGCATGCACACCTATTATAATGATTACATCCTAGGAATCAGAAAAAATAAGTTACATAAAATAATTATTTTTTAAAAATTTCCTCCCTCTGGGACCAGCAGTTAGCATAATGGCTATGTCACTGAAATCCCAGGTAGTCGACTGCAGTTCGAGTCCCTGACCCAGTGGCTTAAACTCACGTCAGGCGGGTATGCATGCATGCCCAAGATCCCGAGAGGAGAATGGAGGAGAAGGGATTGTGGCGTGCCCCCCCCCCCGGG